AGTCCACCAACAACTAAAAAAAAAAAATTCATACAGTTTCCCCATTAAGATTCTTTTTGTTTGGTTTGTTTTCTTGTTATTTGTTTGAGATGGAGTTTCACTATGTTGCCCAGGCTGGAACTGAACTCTTGGGCTTAAGCGATCCTTCTGTCTCAGACTCCTAAGTAGCTGGGGCTACAGTTGTGTGCCTATGACTCCCTGCTATGTTCTCCAATCTAGATTCTTCAAGTACCCTCAGAAAATCTGGTAAAATTGCCCAAATCTTTCCAAATATTCTGGACTTCCAGGCTCTAGCAAATATTCCTGCCTTACCTTTCCTCTGGCTGAAGTGCTTCTCTTCCTCACTCTTTAGTTTATCCACTTTCTTTCCTACCTCCATTCCCCTTCATTTTTCCTTCCTCCTTGCCTAAGCTTTGGGCCTTCCGTTGTTACCCTTTTTCTAATTATACTTGGGCTCAATAAGTCTCTGGTTACTGACCAGGAATCAACTCATGATAGCTCGTGGCAGTGCTAAGGAACATTCAGTGAAAACGCTGGTGGCTTAAGGGAAGCCATACATTCAAACCCCTACTTTGGCATTTGAACACTGGCAACACACGGAAGATTATGTACAAGGATGTAAGCATTTGTAAGTCTCTGTCACAGGGCCTGCGGAGGAGGTGTTGGCTCAGGGACTGACAAAATGTGCAGCTCTATGAATAGCCACAAAACCCATTATCTGTTGTGATAAATAGGTGGCAGTAAATACTGCCACTGTGTGATGGAGAGAGTAAAACACATGGCTCCATGGAGGGCACAACTAAGGAGAGAGCTCAGTTGGGTCAGAGAGAAGCATGAAGACAAAGGGCTCTGAGCAAGGGAATCAGCCATGAGCAGAAATAGGCCCGAGGTGGCTGGGAAGGTGGGAGCTGAGTTGGTGGCAGCTTGCAGAGAGGAAATTGAATCTGATCTGTCATTTTGGGGAGCAGCTATGTTTTTGTTTTGTTTTGTTTTGGGGTTTTCTTGTTGTTTATTTGTTTTGCAGTACTGGGGATTTAACCTAGGGCCTTGACCATGCCAGGCAAGCACTCTTAACACTGAACTACATTCCCACCCTGCTATGGGGCCTTTTGAGGCAAGGCTCTTGCATGGGACAGCTCTCCCAGACAGTGTGATGAAAAACTATTGACAGGGTTTCCCCTGAATGACTCCCTGGGGGTTCCCTGTCCCCACAGTTTCAGCACTTATTGGCTCTGACCATTCTTCAGCCCCCCAGCTACTTAGGAGCCTGAACTTGCCTCTGTAACCTAGCTTATGAGATCTTGAGCAGAGGTTTTAGAAGGAGAGGTGTTGGCCCAGAAGTGGTTCTGAAGGCTTTCTGTGCAGGATTAATCAGAGTCTGTGAAGCTGGTGGCTTTCATCAGGACACAGGGTATTCCAGGGAGTGGAATGCCGGCTGTGTCAGGGAAGCTAGTGTCTCTCCCTCCAGCCCTGCCTCCCCTCAGACCTACCCTCCAGGTATAGTGACATAGTAAGTTCTTAAGGCAGGCCCAGGTTACAGGGACCCCCTTTTCCCAACCCTGCCAGACTTTCAAGAACTCCATATCCATTAGTGTGTGGAGGTAGGAGTTGGAGGTGTTCGTGGTTACTAGCCAGGCCCATGGTAGGCTGAGCAAGGAATTGCCTTATTAGAGTCTCCAGGCCAGGAGAATGGATGGCTGCTGTTGTCCCCCAGAACTCTAGAACCCACAGGAGCTCAGGAGCTCCAGGAGCCTTCTGCATCCCTAGCTGCCAATGGAAAGAGGGCCCCAACAAAGGTCTAGTCCTTGTACCAGCAAGGAAAAGCCTGCTCCAGATTGCAGAATAGGAAGATAGTGGGGTGGGTTGCACTTCCAATTGAGTCTAGAACCTCTGGAGTTGTCTGGGGTTTACCAAGGTAAGGATCTAGCGAACTTCCTTTTTATTCTCTCTCTAGCTTAAGGCCAGAGAGTGTCTTGCTCTATAAAATCCAAATGGCCTCCTTCCTTCTCCCACCTCTCCCCAAAAATCTTCATGTTAGCCTTTAAGTACCATAGGGCCTCTCACTCGGGAGGTGGCAAGTAGCCTGAAAAGTAGGGCAGCAACAAGGGCCTTGAAGTTCTAGCTCCTAACTGGGCACCTGCTATTTCACCACCAGGAGGACTGGCACTGCCCTACTTTGGGGTCTGGAGTAGATGGCTTCATGATGGGCTTGGGTTTGCCCATCTAAAAATCTGAGGGCATTAGGGGGTGGGGGGTAGCTCAGGGAGAGTGTACTTGCCTGGCATTGTCTGAGGCCTTGGGTTCAATCCCCAGTATCACAAAAATAAATAACAAATACATTTAATCAAATACATTAAATTTTAAAATAATAGTAAAAGCTAAAGCTGTTAGACATGTTTTTGAATGGCCTGCCCAGCTCTGACATTTTTGGATCCTATGTAAAGGGAACTATTATTATTCCTAACCCAGAATACGGAGGATGGGTCCATTCTCAGAGCCCTGGTTCTCCCTTGGGCTACTCAAGAAATTCTTCACCTCTTGGTTCTGTATCCTGACCCCTACACCTCCACCCCTTCGCACTCACCATGGGGAGAGGTGGCAAAGAGAAGGACTACATAATGGAATTATAGATTTGGAGCTAGAAGTGGGAAACTCTACACAAGTCCTGTGTTATGTTATAATTATTTTAATTTAGATGAAATTTACATGACATAAAATTTATCATTTTAAATTATACAATTCAGTAGCATTTAGTTCATTCATAATGTTGTGCAACCAGTGTCTCCATCTCATTTCAAAGTATTTTCAATTCCCCACTCCTCCAGATCTGGTAACCACCAATTTACCTCCCAGCTCTGTGGATTTGCCTATCCTAGATATTCCACATAAATGCAATATCTAATGTATTAGTTTATTTTTCGTTGCTATAATAAAAATATCTGAGGCTAGGTACTTACAAAGAAAAGAGATTTATTAAGCTCACAGTTTTGGAAGTTGAAAACATGGTGCTGATAACAGTTCTGCTCTGGTGAGGTCCCCCTTAGCTGTGTCACACAGCGGATGGCATCATGGTTAGAGTACATGTGCAAGGGAGACGGCATATGGTAAATGATGGAGAAGGGCAAGTTTTACCTTTTTTTTTTTATACTGGGAATTGAACTCAGTGCTTAACATTGAGCCACATCCTGGCCAGCCCTTTTTATTTTGTGTTTTGAGACAGGGTCTCATTAAGTTAGGGCCTGAGTTGCTGAGGCTGGCTTTGAACTTGCAATCCTCCTGCTTCAGCCTCCTGAGCTGCTGGGATTACAGGAATGTGCCGCTGTGCCTGGCTCAGTCTTGCTCTTTCATAACAACTTATTCTCGTGAGAACAATTAAGATACTCTGTGAGACTCTCACAAACTCCTTCCCAGGGAGGGACAGTGCCCCCAAAGACCTGACAACGTCCCAGGAGGTCCCTCCTTGTAAAGTTTCCGCTACTCCTCACAAGGCCCACATCGGGAACCAGGCTTCCCACAGTGAGCCACATCCAAACCACAGCGTACAATGTACAATACGTGGCTGACTTCCTTCACTTAGCATACGTTCAATATTTATCCATATTATATCAGTACTTTATTCCTTTTCAAAATTATTAATATTGTGGTAAAATATACATATTGTAAAATTTACCTTCTTAAATGTACAAATCAGGGGCATAAAAGAAAATTCATAATGTTATGATGCCATCACCACTATTTTGAGAAATTTTTCATAATCCCCAACAGAAACTCTAATCCCATTAAACAATAACTCCCTGTCCTCTTCCTCCAAGGCCCTGGTGGCCTCTGTTCTACTTTCTACCTCTATGAATTTGCCTATTCGAAGGATCACATCGGTGGAATCCTGCAATATGTGCCCTTCTGTGTCTGGCTTCTTTCACTCATGGAGGTGTTTTCAAATTTCATCACTATTTTTTATGGGTGAATATTATTCAATTTATTATTTTCATTCAATGAACAATTGAATGAAAATAATAAATAGAATAGTATTTCTAATAAATATTTATAATAGTGTTTACTATTATTGATAGTGCTTAACACAAGCTAAACAAGCATTCTACCACTGAGTCACAACCCCAGCCCTGGAAGGCAGATCACGTGCCACTTTTCAAGTACTTCACTTATATCACTTTATTTTCCCCACTTATTTAGAGCCCAGTGGTTCCCATTGTGCAGATAAAGACCCTGGAATTCAGAGGGGAATAGTGACTTTCCAAAATGTCACAAAGATGATCAGTGATTAAGTTGCTGTTAGAAACCTATTATACCTCTATCCCCAGGAGCCTGTGGGGCTTGAGAAAAGTGGAGACAGGGAGGTCAGCAGACAAGAGGCCAAGAAAAAGCCGACCTGGGACAGAACAGGGGCAGGAGGAGATGGCCTAAGGCCATCACCTCTGACTTCTCCCCCTCCAGCCCTGTACCTTTTCCACTGGGCCTCCTACAGGTCCCTGGGCCACCTCTACCCCAGCCAGCCAGGAGAGCACCTTTCTGGCTGTTACCCTTCGCCTGCCTCCACGATGGCCTTTCTTTTCCTCCCCATAGCAGGCCCTGAGGCCTCTGGAGTTAGCAGCAGCATGGCCCAAGGCCCTCACAGGAGGCTCTGGGCAACTGCTCTGACTTTCACCTTGACGGTCTACTTCATTCCACTCCTGTCCTCTGCTCAGACCTGGCTAACCTTCCTTGGGTCTGATCCTCTTGTCCTCCAGCATCGGCCTGGACCTGACCTGTATTCTCCCAAATCTGACCTGGGGACCTGGACCTAAGCACAGTGTGTATGGTCTTTGTCCAGACATCAGATGGTCCAGGGAGGGGAGGAAGGGAGGTGATTTCAGCCTTAGGGACTCTGTACCTTATGAGAGTCAATGTGACTTTTTACCTACATTTCTTACAGCCCCTCTTACCCCAGTGCAAAACACACAGACACACACACACACACACACACACACACACACACACACACACTCATCTTCTTCCTCCCCACTCCTTGTTCTGCCCCTAGGAACTGGAACCCCTCCATGTTCTCACTCTTCTGCCCACCCTCCCACCACGGTCCCCTCATCTGCTATGAGTTTCTCCAAGAAAGAGGTGGAACAATTTAGATTTTCCGTAGAGTCTCCAGGAGCCTGGGGGTACAGAGGCAGCTTGAGTTGGGAAGATGTTGAAGAGGCTGTTCTCCAGAAGCCAGAGTCCGTCAGCCACTCCAGATCTTCCTGCTGCAGGAACTCTGGTTTAGAAAACGGGAGTTTTGGGGGGGTGCCTACGGACCCACCACGGTCCCCACCCATCTGGAGGCTCCTTCTAGATGTATCCAGGTCTTCTCTTCCTCTTCTTCCCCAAGGTTTTGCCAGGTTGTGCCTTGGACAGAGGGTGGAGGGGCAAGGCAATTCGGTCCTTTATCAGGGTTTGGTAATCCTTTATGAGGTCCTTACTCAGGGGCATGCTGGGCAGCAAGGCCAGCTTTAGCGCCTTCTCCTGGTAATGAGGCACAGGGTTTGGGCAGGGCCAGCCTCTGGCGAGAGGAGTGGGGAGTGGATTGGGCAGGAGAGGGAGACCTTGAGGCTCAAACCTCCCACCAGCAGATATGTACTGGGCTCTGTGGAGGAAGGAAAGTGGAGACATCAGAGAAGTCAAGGGAGAACTCAAGGCATGGGGATTAGGCTCTGGGAATCCCTTCTCTCTCTTCCTTCAATATGGAACTTTGCCAAATGGCTTGCACCCTAGGTGTGCATTTTGTCATTGAGCTGGTGAGATCGTGCCTAACTAGTAAACCTTTCATTCTTTTGACATACTGTATATGATATTTTTATGCAGATTCTTTGGGGAGGGTGGTAATTGGGGATTGAACCCAGGGAACTCTACCACTGAGCTGCATCCCCAGTCCTTTTTATTTATTTTGAAACGGGGTCTTACTATGTTGTCCAGGCTGGCCTTGAACTTGCCATCCTCCTGCATCCACCTCCTGAGCCACTGTCATTTTGCAGATTCTTATCTGAATTCTAACTGTCCTTCAAGTCTCACCTTCTCCACTAATGCAGTGCCTGTGGGAAGTCCACTGAACTTTGCACAAGTGGGTGGCTTCTCTTCTCTGTTGGCCTGTAGTATTGAACAGTAGGAAATTGACTTTTAAAAAAAACCAAACACACACAGTTGAATAGTGGCACATTTTCGGTTTCAACATGCTTTGCACTTAGTTTGCAGACATTTCCTATTTGCTGTTGCTGGTTTATTCAGGGGTTTCAGCCATGTCTGTACATTAGAATTTTAAACATACCACAGGCTAGGAGTGTGGCTCAGTGGTGGAGCATTTGCTTAGCACGTGTGAGGCCCTGGGTTGGATCCTGGTACCAAAATAATAGTAATAAATTTTAATAAATGAATAAAAAGATAAGTAAAACACCATGCCCAGGGCCTGGGTTTGTAGCTCAGTGGTAGTGCCCAGCACATGTGAGGCATGAGGTTCGTTGCTCAGCACCATATAAAAATAAATAAATAAAATAAAGGTATTGTGTCTATCCACAACTAAATAAAATAAAATAATTTCAAAAAACAAAACACAATGCCTGTCCCCCAGATCATTTAAGTTAGACTTTCTGGGATGAGCCTCAAACCTTGGCATAATTTTTAAAAAGTCCCAGATCATTCTAATGTGCTGCCAGGGTTGGGAACTATTGGATTTATACATAAATATTCTATTTCCCCAATAAGACCACAGCATCTTAAAACTTAGATCTTATCTTATGTGTCTGAAGTCTTTTGGGTCCCTGATGCTCATAACGTCATCGATGACTACTCCTTTTTTTTTTTTTCCCCTGTGCTGGGGATCTAACTCAGGGCTTTGAGCATGCTTAAACTTGAGCTTTGCTACTAAACTACATCTTTCAGGCCCCAGGCTAATTTTTAACAAATTTTTAAACCTTTCTTTTTCAGAGCTGCTCAGAGGAACAACCAGATTCTCATTACTTTCTTGTTCCCACCTACTGAACTTGTCTAACCCCTTCAAGGTCTAGTTCACATACTACCCTCTCTATGAACTATGAAACCTTATCTGAGGGGCTGGGGATGAAATTCAGTGTCAGATCATGTGCTTAGCATGCAGAAGGTCCTGGATTCAATCTCTAGCACTGCAAAAACAAAAACTTTGTGACCCATTCCTTCATTCTAGGCTCCTGGGCTGCCCCCACAGCTGTATCCTACTCTCAAGGAAATGCCAAACCAGGAGTAATGCCACTTCTTGTGCCCCTTTTATATGCTCAGTATAGTGCCATTTAATCCGCAAAAGAACCATCAGAGTACCAGGTACATCTCTGATATATACCTGAGACATGTGAGGTTCAAAGGTTTAAGAAAGTTAAATCACCAGCCATGGTGGCATATACCTGTAATCCCAGCAACTCAGGAAGCGGAGAGAGGAGGCTTACAAATTTGAGGACAGCCTGGGCAATTTAGCAAAACCCTGTGTCAAAAATAAAAAAAGTGGGGGCCTATGGTTGTGGCTCAGTGGTAGTGTGCTTGCCTAGGTTTGATCCTCAGCATCACATTATAAAAATAAATAAAATTAAGGTATTGTGTCCATCTACAAATAAAAAAAATATATATATATTTTTTTTTTTTTAAAAAAAGGCTGGGAGTGTAGCTCAGGGGTAGAGTACCCTAGGTTAAATACCCAATCCTGAAAAAGAGAAAGACAAAAGAAAAAGTTAATAAAACTGTTAAGTTTGTGATCTGGGGGCTGAGAGAACTTGAGCAAAAGACTTGACCTCTTCATCTAAGATGCCCACTTTCCTGAGGGTCTCAGGGGATTGAGTAATACAGTTAAAGTAATTAAATATGACAGTGAAATCTTTTTGCCGAGGGTACTAGGTCTTATTCCCTTTTGGATGCTCCTACATATGTACTTAGCAACAAGTACTCTGAGGAAACCTGGGTTCCATCCCCTGCACCACAAAAAAAGGATTAAAGGGGGCTGGGGTTGTGGCTCAGCAGTAGAGCACTTGCCTAGCATGTGCAAGGCCCTGGGTTTGATCCTCAGCACCACATGAAAATAAAGATATTGTGTCCAACTACAACTTAAAAAAAAAAAAAGGATAAAAGGGATGACACTATAGATGGGCAGGTTGGAGTACCAATTTAGACACCAGAAATAGGAATGGGAGTGAGGGAAGGGTCACCTGTGAACATGGGCAGGATGAGCCACTTGGGAGGCAGGGGCTTCTCTTACTTTTTGAAGTTGGCGGGAGGCACAATGTTGCCATGAGTATCCAGTGGAGGGGCTCTGACTTCACTCCTCAGCTTGAGTTTCTGCATCTCCTTCAGCTCCTTCTTTGTCTTCAAAATCACCTGGCTCTTCCTGTTTACGTCCAAGAAGATGGGGGTAGAGTAGATGAAGGCCAGGAAGTTGTTTTTCCCAATCCAGGAGGGAGGAGGGATGGGGGTGTCTGCTGGGGGATAGTTGTGGGCATTGGAGTGGGTCAGCCAGCGCCAGACATTGCTGTCATAGGGCATGTCAGGGTGTGTGGGAAAAGTGGCAGGCAAACGCCCCACATCGAGCCACGTGTGAAAGCCCCAGCTGTGCTGGATTGTGTCCTTCCAAGGGTGGATTAGCCGGTGGTGCACTTTGGACTTCGTATCTGAGTGGGGTGGCAGCCTCTGGGCCAGCTGGTGGTAGGCTTGCCGGGTAAAGCCAGGCAACTCGCAGGTCTCCCTGGGGAGAAGGAACTCACGTTGAACCCACGTTTGGTGGGTCGGGAGGGATTCACTGGCATGGACCATCTAGGGAGAGACAAAAGGAAGCTGGGATGGGCTACAAAGGCAGGGGTGTGGGGACTGGGGGGAGGCATTCTACTGTCCTCCTCAGGAGCAAACTGCAAACCTCCTGAAGCCCAAGACTCTCATCAAGCCATGATGGCCAGCAGGGGGTCATCTCTTGGCTCCTGTCCTGACTTTCTGAAGTTATTGTAATATTCTCTGTATTATTTTCATGGATTGTTCAAATTTTCTTTCCATTGATCGTATTTTGGCTTTGATTTCCTACCTTCTCATCATGGTTGCCCCCTTTCCTGCCCAGGAACTGGTGCTCTTAGGAAGGCACATGGGCTGCAGGGACTGTGAGGGGAGATGGCACGTACCAGCCCATCCAGAAACCCTCCTTCCCTTGCTTCTGGACCTGGTGACACTCCAGGAAACAGGTCTAGTTGGTTTTCCATTTCAGACTCCTTTTACTATTTGTTCCTCTGTCACAGTACTGTCCCCTCACTTATTGAAAGGCAAACCAAGTATACAGAGTATCTAGAATGTCAGTTCCTCCCCTTTTTCTGTGCCCAGCCCCCACGAGATAAGTAGTAGCAAATGTCTTTTTTTATTTTTAATTGTAGGTGGACACAGTACCTTTATTTATTTTTATGTGGTGCTGAGGATCGAATCCAGTGCCTCACATGTGCTAGGCAAGTGCTAGGCAAGTGCTAGGCAAGTGCTCTACACCACTGAGCCCCAGCCCCAGCCCAGCAATTAAGTATTGACATTGTGCTCCATACTTAAGCACATCTCATTCAACCCTCATACTATGTAAGCAAGTATTGTTATTTCCCCTATGGTTTGGAAGTGTCCCTCAAAAGCCGATGTGTTAAAGGCTCGGTCCCCAGCCTGTGGCACTATTGGGAGCTGGTAGAATCTTTAGGAGGTGGGGCCTAGTGGAAGTCTCTGGAGGTGTGCCCTTGAAGAGACAGTGGGCTCCCTGCCCCTTCTTCTTTTTGCTTTTGGATAACCATGAAGTGACGACTCCTCCACTGTGAGCTCTCACCATGACGCATTGTGCTGCCTTACACCCAGAGCAACAGGACAGAACAACTATAGACCGAAACCTCTGAAACCACAACCCCAAATCAACCTTTCCTGAAGGAGGTTGTTTGTCTTAGATATTGTCAGAGCGAAGGAAACTATCTCAAAAGATGCAAAGAGCAAGACCCAATGAGGTTAAGGAACTCACTCAGGATGCTGGGACTTGAGCTGACTGTTCATCTTCAGCATATTGTTCTGTGTGAAATGCTTTTTTTTTTTTTTTTAATTTTTATTTGTAAATAGATACAATACCTCTATTTAATTAATCAATCTCTCTATTTATTTATATGTGGTGCTGAGGCTTGAACCTTAACAAGTGCTAGGCAAGAGTTCTACCACTGAGCTACAACCCCAGGCTGTGAAATACTTTCACATAGCACAGTGCCCAGTGTGACCTGGCCAGGACAAAAATGTGTATCTGTAAAAATGTTTCTCCCTCCTGTCTACCCACGAGGATTTTCTGATTCCCCAAACCTACTCTTTCTTGGGTCTAAGTCATTTCTGTAAGTATGTGGGGCTGGGGGATACATATGATACAGGTTGAGTATCATTAATCTGAAAATCCAAAATCCAAAATGCTCAAAATCTGAATCTGAGTACTGACAAGTCACAGTGGAAAATTCCACACCTGACTTTATATGATCAGTTGCAGGGAAAACACAGGCATACTAAACACATTGCATAAAATTACCTTGTAGAAGGTATATGTGAAACATGTGAATTTTGGGTCCTCTCCCCAAGACATCTAGCAAATATTTCAATATTTAAAAAAATTCCTGAAACACTTTTGGATAAGCATTTTGGATAAGGGATACTCATCCATGCTAAGTAGGCTTCTCCCCTGTTTTGAGCTCTGTGCCAGCAGCATCATAGGACCAAGAGGGAAACACAGGGGAGAACTCACCACAGCCTCTAGCCCAGGTGGAGAAAAAGGTAGGCTCCTCCCCCTACCTTCAGGAAAGGCTCTCTGACACGAGATGAATTGCTCATCCTTCCTCTGATTGATCTTTGTGGGTTACTAGCCATTCTTCTTCTGGGCGTCAGAGCCAGGAGGGGTGGCTTAGTGGGGAAGCCCTTTCTGGCACCATTGTTTGTTGCTAGGGTCGCTATGGTGATACTTCCTGGCCGGTGACAAGAGAGGAGGCCCTTACCTGTCACCAGAGGCTCTTCAGGCCCTCGGGATTCTGCCTCCTTTTCAAGTGAGACAGGCAGAGAGTGGGAAGGACTCTCTTTTGACAGTTCTGGGTGCAAAAATTGGTGACAAGAACTGTTTCCGGGAAGGAACTTGCTAGGAAGACTTGGTAAGGAGAACAACCAAGCAGACTGGCTTCTAGGTCTCAGGCTGGGGATGAGGTTTTAGGAAGGCACCTGCAGTGCAGCCCATTTTAATCTAATGTTTTTTGGGGCCTGCCACTGTTACTGAGAGCTGACAGAATCCTAAGTTAGCCAGTAGGCACAGAGGCCCCAAGAACAGATCTATGACAGGGAAAAGAGGGAAAACTGGCAATTTCTGTGTCAGAGAGGATATATGTTCCAGCAGAGTATGGCAGGGAGGGGATTCTGCAAAAACCCTGTGCATTCTCCCAGTGTGCTCCCACTGAGAGCTGCAGGCCTTGTTTCTCCCCAATACCACCACATCCACCATTACCCACTTTCTTTTCCAACCCTTCCAGATACTGAGACCACAGAGACCAGCAGGTCCACCCTGGATTTTATTTGGTAGGTAGTTACAGTAGTGTTATTGAGCTGGCTCATGTACATGCAGTCAGCTGGGGCCCAGGGTGGCTCTTTGCAAAGCTGAGGTGCAAGTTAAGGAAGCCAGGCAGGTCAGGGGTCCTTTCCACTTTCTCAAGCCTCCGCCTGAGTTCTCATCAATTCTAGTCTCCCTGGCATGATTAGGAACATTATCAGAGAAACATCTAATAGGGGGCACATCTGGGCACTTATTCACTTTTCTGTAGATGCATTTACCCAACCACCCCAAAATTCGACTCTTGACCCGATATGAGACCTTTTAAACCAGGATTTCTTGCAGGAAAGCTGACTTGGAAACATGGGGAGGTAGGAGGAAGGAGCACTAAGAGGGACCCTGGGAAGCAGATTGGGTGTCTACAGTAAAGAACCCTTGAGCTAGGTACCTTGGGTCAGGAAGAAACCTGCACTGCAGGTCCTGCCCTTCTCCAGGAACCAAAAGCAAGGAACAGAGGCAAATTGCAACCCCTTGTTACCCTGCCCACCTTCTGGCAGTCTCTAGATAATGATCTAAGGAAATAAGCTTACATTTATAATTAGAGGATAATTTGGAAAATTTACACTATTTACAAGGGTCACCCTACAAGGAGCAGGGAAGGTGAGACTGCTGGGCACAGAATGAAAACGGTTTGGGGAAGTACTAACTCCTTTTTACCGTTACTTTTGCCATTCTCACCCTTCAGCTTATGGCAAGGAGAGTAGAGGAATCAGATTCTCTCAAGAAGCATAGGTGGCACAGAGACCAGTTACCCTACTGCTTGCAAAGGTCCCAGCAGCAGTTAAGGTGTGACTGCTGCCTTGGCATAATCAGGCTGGGGAGCTAAGAGGAGCAGCATGGTCCCTGCCTGCTGTCCTCACTCAGAGGGATTGGGGTACACTGAGCCTTGGGACTGCCCAGCTACATGAATGCCTGGAATGGTGGACAGCTTGAGCAGCAAGGCAAGGTCAAGTCCAGTCTCTACCGTAGTTCAGGAGTAAACTGAGACCAGGTGATGTTGTCAGAGCTCAATGGGTCCTCCTCCAGGCCAGGGAAGCTGATATCCAGCAGGATCTTGCTGAGGCTGTCATTCATCGTGTCCAGAACCAGACCTTCAGTCAGAGAACGATTGGCCGAAAGACTGGGAACCTGAAGCTCTGGAGAGCCTGGCTTGGGAACTTCCACATCAGAGGGGGAAGAGCTGCTAAAGGGGTCAGAGGCAAGATCAAAGGGTTCTGAATTGAGGAGCTCTCGGGGTGAGTCAAAGAGGGGAATGCTTTTCAGCGGCGTGGTGCTCAGATCCATCAGCCCCAGGGAGTCAGGCAGGGAGCCAAAGGCGCCCTGGGGGGTTCGTACTGGGCTGAAATCAAGACCCTCTGCTTTGGCTGGGGGTGTGAGCCTCCAGGATTCAGGGGTTTTGGGGAGGATAGATTTACTTGGTGTGGAGGAGATGGGCAGAGTCTCCTTAATGGGGGTCTTGAAAGGTCCTCCCTCCTCCTGGAGGCAGCTCAGGTGGGAGACAGGCTCTGCCAGGAGGGGGGCCTCAGTAGCTCGTCGGGATGTGCTGGGGCCCTCTGAGAAGACCAGCTCGGGCTCATCCAGACAGGGAGGCTGCAGATGCTGTTTCCTTCGAGACCGGCTCATCTCCCTCTTCTCCCTTCGTTTAATCACGAGCATTTCTGAGACACATCGGGCTGGGGACTTAAGCCCACTGTAGGACTTCTTGGGTCTTGGGGTAGGAGAGCAGGAGGAATCCTCCCAGGAGTGAGACAGCTCCTCTTTGAATGATGGGCAGGGGGAGGGCCACTCTTCTAAGGGAGGGCTCTCCACTTTGATGGGTCTTGCTAACTGTGGCATGTCCTCCCCATGCTGAGTTTCCTCTTCCTTGATGGACTGAATTGGAAGCAAAGGCAACAGCCCTTCTCCAAGCAAGGGTTTCTCCTCCTTCACTGGTCCCGCAGTAGGAAGAGGGGCTATGCCCTCATCAGCTAGTAGCAGCTGAAAGGGAAGCAGAGGCAAGGTAAAAGGGGTCACATTCAACCAGCTGCTACCAGGCTGGATATAGAACCATCACCAAACAAAGTGACATACTGGTACCGATCATCTTGTCATACTATTTAAAATTTTCTTTCCTTTTTTTTCCCTTTGTGTTGCTGGGGATGGAACCCAGGGCCTCATGCATGCTAGGTTAAGTACTCTACCACTGAAATATGCCATCAGCTCTCTTGTCTTTGTAAAATCTTAAAAGCTTTTAAATGTTTCACTTTTTTTTTTGTGTGTGGTGCTGGGGATTGAACCCAGGGCCTTGTGCATGCGAAGGAAGCATTCTACTAACTGAGCTATATTCCCAGTCCTTAAAAGCTTCTTTTATTTATTTTTAAATTCTAATTTTTATTTATAACAGCAGAATACATTACAATTCTTATTCATACAGATAGAGCACAATTTTTCATATCTCTGGTTTTATACAATTAAAAGCTTCTTTTAAATATGAGAATATAATATATATGATGAAGGTTGTAATTCCATTCTGGGGATAAAAGATGAATGAATTGGAATTGGGGGTCTAGCTTAGTGGTAGAGCACATAGAGCACATGCTCAGTAACAGAGGCTCTGAGTTCAATTCTTTTTTTTTTTTAAAGAGAGAGAGAGGGAGAGAGATTTTTTTTAAAAAAATATTTATTTTTTAGTTTTCGGTAGACACAACATCTTTGTTTGTATGTGGTGCTGAGGATCGAACCCGGGCCGCACGCATGCCATGCGAGCGTGCTACCACTTGTGCCACATCCCCAGCCCTGAGTTCAATTCTTAACACCAAACAGGAGGGAAAAAAAGGTAAGAATATTTAATGTGGTACTGGCATAATTAGAATCCACCTCAGAGAAAATAAAATTGAATATCTATTTTACACTGGGTACAAAGATTTCTTTGTGGTGTTGGAGATCAAACCCATTTATATAAAGATTTAAACATAAAAATTAAAATTTGAAAGTCATACAAATCTAGAAGACTACATGCACAATCTGAGGGTAGGGTGACCTGCTTAACCAAGACAGGAAGCCCAGAAGCTGCAAGAGAAGAAAGACATATTGATTACATACAATTTTACTGTGGCCAGAGAGACCATACACAGTTAGGAACCAAGCAGGAGAAGCAGAAAAATATCTTCAGCATAAACATATAAAAACAATATTTTACTAATAGAGCTCTCACAAATTAATAACAAGACCCTACAGAAAAATGGGCAATGTCCATTCCATAAATAAGCAATTCACTGAAGACAACTTCAAGTGACCAAATATAATGAGAAGGTGCTCAATCTTATGAATCAACAAGGAAACATAGCATTACACTGGCAAATATTGGTAACCTTTTTTTTTGGTGGTGGTGGTGCTGGTGGATCAAACCTAGGGCCTTGTTCCTGCTAGGCAAACACTCTACCACTGAGCTCCATTCCCAGCCCTGAGATTGGCAAATATTAAAAAGACTAATAATACCAATTGCCAGTGATTATATAGTTCTTATATTGCTGTTTGAAATATGAATCATCACAGGTTTTTGGAATACAATCTAGAAATATTTAGTAAAATTTAGAATACCTTCTCACTTAGCAATTTCATATCTGGGACTTTATCTCATAGACATAAAAGCACTAGTAAGAAAGATTGCTGCAAAGATATTTATCACATTATTGTTCATAGGGTAAAAACCCAGAAATAAGGGATGGGGTTGTGGCTCAGTGGCAGAGCACTTGGCCTTACACATGTGAGGCACTGGGTTCGATCCTCAGCACCACATAAAAATAAATAAACAAAATAAAGATATTATATCCTTGTATAACTAAAAAACATTTGGAAAAAAACAATAGCCCAGAAACAAAATATTTCCATAAAAAATATAAGAGTCAATAATCTGTGAATGTTATGTGGACATAAAAAGCAATAAATTAGAACTATACCAAGTACCTGGGAAGAACTTCTGTGACGTCTTTTTTGTGTGTGTTTGGTACTGGTGAATGAACCCATGACCTTGTGGACAGAGTTGGCAAGTGCTCTATGCACTGAGCTACACCCCCAGTTCTCCATCTTCTTTTATCCTATTATATTTGAGACAATCTTGCTAAGTTGCCCAGAATAGCCTTGACCTTGTGATCCTCTTGCCTCAGTCTCCTCTGAATATTTAATATTATAAGCATGGGCCACTGTCTTTTTCTAACCCAATAAGATCTCATGGAAGCCAGGCACAGTGGCACCTGTATCCCAGTTACTTGGGAGTCTGAGGCAGGAGGATCACAAGTTCAAATTTAGCCTTGGCAATTTAGTAGAACTTTGTCTCAAAATAAGAAATAGAAAGGGCTGGGGGCTGGGGATGTAGCTCAAGCGGTAGCGCGCTCGCCTGGCATGCGTGCGGCCCGGGTTCGATCCTCAGCACCACATACAAACAAAGATGTTGTGTCCACCGATAACTAAAAAATAAATATTAA